CGAACTCATGTGGAAGTGGCTTAAGCTTCTTAGTGCAGTGCTTTAACCCACTGCACCACCAGGGAGGGCCCTCTTGGTACTTTTTTATGGCTGCCAGTTGTCAGGGAGCAGAAGCACTCTACAGAACATCGGGAGAGCCAGGTTCTAGAAGTGGTAGCATAGACCACTGAACTTAGGGCAGGGAGTCAAGCTTTTGGTGGTGGGATTAGCCTTAGGCGTCTTTTCCAGAAAGGTGGAGAGCAGTCATAGGTGGTTTTCTCTGTCCTTTTAGCCCAGGGCCTGTCATCTTACAGTGCTCAGTCATTGTTTGGCCTGGAGAGGCTGTAAAACCAGCCACGTCTGGTCTGAGTGAGAACTAAGTTCCTTCACTGGAGATTTGTTAACTGTCCTGTGTGTCAGGCCCTGCAGCTGACAGGGTAGAAGGCAGTATGAGCATAGGGCCTATAACCCAGTATCTTTGAAAGCCAAGTTTCTGCTTCTCCCTGTGCCCTGCATGCAAATGCATGGACAGCAGTTCCTATCTGTGACACTTGTCTACACTGTAGAAGAAAGGGTTGAAAAGCATCGATTTACAGCATCCTGGCATCCTGCAGACCCCTTAACCGAGGTGTCTTTCTCACCTCTCAGTGCCCAGCTTCCTTTTACAGAACCACTCACCATGTCTTTTGTTCTGGCTGCCTCCCACCCTTCCAGAGTTCGGGGTATACTGTAGCCACTGCCGCAGTGAGGTCCGGGGCACACAATGTGCCATCTGCAAAGGCTTCACCTTCCAGTGCGCCATCTGCCACGTGGCTGTGCGAGGATCATCCAATTTCTGCCTGACCTGTGGGCACGGTGGACATACCAGCCACATGATGGAGTGGTTTCGGACCCAGGAGGTGTGTCCCACTGGGTGTGGCTGTCACTGTCTGCTGGAAAGCACTTTCTGAACAGCCAGAGCATGGTGTTGTCGGAAATCCAAGAGAACCCCGTAAATACGGGTTACAAGCCCCCTGCCAGGAGAGAGGCTCCAGGACCATTCCCATTGAGGGGCATTTTCCCCTCAAAGACTGTTGGAGAAGGATGAGGAAAGACGGTGGAGACACACAGGCCAGGTGGAAGTTTTCTTGGAGGAAAACAGCTTGCCTCCAGTGCCTTGTTAACCTCACACCACTGCACAGCATCCTTTCTGATGACATACAAAGACTGAAGTCAGACGCAAAGGACCAGCTCCTGAGCCAGAGGACACTGGACATGATGTAGTCAACAGAGTGGGTCTGTGACATAAGTTGGTGCATCTAATGAACTAGTGGACAGTGATCGTTTAAAATATGATACCTAAACTATGAATATGTGCGTAAGGATTTTTTTTTGTGTTTTTATTGATATTGGTTTACAATTAAGGGTTCTCCAGATGTCTTTTTTCGTTTGTTAGTGCTCTTCCAGGCTGCTCTCCTTTGACTAATAAAATTCTAGAAATTATTTTAAAAAAGAGAATGTTGACCAACAATTAGTGTGTCTTTGCTTTAATCCGATTTGTAATTAAAGTTAACTCTTTTGGATAGGACCAAAGTCAGTCCCTAAATTTTCTGTTTTGTTTTTTTTTTTAATTAAAGGTTTATTTATTTATGCATACAAGAGCTGGGGTATAAATCAGAGGTGTGGGGTGGGTGGGGGGTAGGAGTGAGAGGATTCACCAGAGACAGAGTGGGGAGCAGAACAGGCAGATCTACTGAAACACACTGCTAAGGGGAGAAGCAGACGGGTCAGGAGAGGTCTACTGTTCCATGTGCGTCAGCACCCTGGCTGGCTGGGGATCAAACTTGGTGCTGCAGTGGCTGACCATAGTTTAATGGTCACTGTCTTTAACCCCTATGTCACCTGGGAGCCAATGCCCAGATTTTCAAAGAAAATGCTGATTTATTTTGGCACCTTAACAGAATTCGTATCTCGGGTTCTTCCCAACCCAGAGGTCTTTGAATCATTCTACTTAGCAAAAAGGAAATGAGATTGTGTGGCGGCTGATATGAAGTGTCCCCCACGCTGTGAGGTTGGGAGTTCTGGGCAGCACCTTTAGTCTTCATCCGGGCTTTTCACCACCTTTGCCCCCGGGTATGTGTGGGTTAACCATGTTTATGACTCAGAAGGCCACAGTTCTTCAGATTGATTTTCCAGTCTTCACATTTTGTGTGCCAGGAATGGGGAATCCTGTTTGATAGCTCTCCTGACAATTTATATTTGTTTTTCAGAACTTAAGGATTCACAATTGCTTAACTTAAACCATACAGCTTACACATCTCACAATGTAAAAGTATTGCACAATGCTGTGTTTTAAACTACAGGTCAGGACCCACTAATGGATTGCAAACTCAGCCTAGTGGATTAAAAGCAGCATTAAAAAAAAATATATGAAAAGAAAGAGAAGAGGAATGACCAGAAGTACCACACAGCATTAGGGTAAATACTGTCTTGTGTGATTTATGTACAAGTGGGCACACACAGTGGCACATGTTTATAGTGAGTCATTTCTTACTGAGGTTTGTAGCCAAACCATTTTCAAAACACTGATGATGCTTACACTGGTCCCCTGTTCGCTAGGTGCAAGTCCCTGCCTTTCGAGAAGCCTGGGGCCTGTGCCGTGAGAGTAGGGCTAGAGCTCCAGGATCTGCTGCGAGCTCAGATGACATGCCGGCGCCTCATCACGGTGAGCTGAATGACCAGGTGCAGCAGGTACATTGGGAGGCTGAGGGGCCACGGAAAACAGAATTTGTTCACTCTCCTGCATTTACGTGTTTGCGTTGATGCGAGATCCCAGAATAGGTTGACTGATGCACACGCGTTGATGCGAGATCCCAGAATAGGTTGACTGATGCACACGCTTTGATGCGAGATCCCAGAATAGGTTGACTGATGCACACTGAGATAAAGGATCTGTTATGTTCCTCCATGAAATCGCCCTGTTAATGGAGAACAGCCTTTTCCTGTTTCCCACTGCTCCTGCTAAATGCAAAAGTTGTTCCTGTCTTTTCCCCATCAACTTAGATGCATTTATTGCTTTATTGTTCTAGAGACCTTGTCTCTTAACACAGAAAAGAAGCCATAATAATGGGTATTAAGAAATGTAGAGCTTAAAAACATGTAGTGTCTTCTTTCCTTTTGAATTGCTAAGTTTTCAGAATGAAAGTCTAATGTTTTTAAAATACTCATACTTAGATAAATTTGTTTCGGGCTCCATTGGCATCTGGTCCTGACTTGATTCTTTTGTACAAGCGATATAAACTATGTTCCAAAGTACCTCTGAACTTGGTAAGGAAAACAAAACTTGTAACTTTATTTGTGTACCAGAAACAAAAGGTTGCTTAGACAGCCTGCTGGACAGAATGGAGAAGAACTGAGACTTCTGGACAACCTCCAACTTGACTTTCTGCCAGCCCTCAAACTCCTTGAAACACAGTGCTTTCCCTGGTAATGCCACAAAAATAGAAATACTGTTGCTTACAACACACTTTAAAATTCATCTAATATTAAAAATGTATCCAGCCTGAAGGTACTGAGCTTTCATGCTGGAAGCTGCTTCTACTGTCTAGTGATTCTCTGCAGGGTTGGCAGGACTCAGGAGAAAGTTGGTTCCTTTTAGTGACTGAATGTGTCAGGAGCTTGAGGGAAAGGCAGAAGACTGGTGTGTAGCCCCCTGTGGGCTGAAAGGCAGTGGGGAGCTGCTCATGGTCTCTGGCATCAGAACAATTTCTTAGATGATGGGCTTTGCTAGCTGTAAAATAGTTCCGAAAGCAGAGTTATAAACGATATCTTCTACTTTATGGCTGACCTTTCCCTACCTCCCTCAGAGTTGGAGCTGCATAGGGGATCTGGATACATTTACTCACAGGCTAGAGCCAGTGGAGAAAATGGATTCCTTGGATTCCTCATTCCCCTTTGAACCTTAATCAGCACCCTAAATCTATTGCATTAGCATTAGATTCCCTTAATATTATTGCAAGCTGGCTTCACAGTATCATTGGTTTGGTGTTTTTTGGTTTATTTTGTTTTGTTTTCCTTAAATTTAAGAAGTTCTGATTTTATACATTGAGTATGTAACATGAGATAAGTACTTAGACAGAGATGAACTGTGCAGCATTCTGCCCGGGTGAAGCACAGTCTTTCTATAAGTGCTTATCAAACTGTGCTGTGGGCTTCCAGTAGAAGGTGGGAGCCACTGAGGACAGACTGTACAGAGAAGTTTTGGCTGAATTAAGGTGAGTAAATATTCTTTAGGTGGGGAAAGGCAGGAGGGCACAGGGAAAGGCCATGCTGAGGACCACACACTAGAGTGGCATTTGGGGACATGATCCATGGTTTCTTATTAGTAAATCGCCAAGCTAAGAACTGAGGCTGGGAAACAGGCAGGTATCAGAGCTTGGTGGGTCCTGAACACTGCCAGGGAGTCTGGGCTTCTCCCTGTCGGCCAGGACTTCTCTGCCTTTCATTTTCTGATTGCATAATGGATATTTATTGTGAACTCAGACAGCCAATTTTATTTAAAAAAAGAAAAAATTTACCACTAGAAGTGTTTAAATGAATGTTACCAGTCACCACCAAAGACTGTATCTTTCACCCAAGTTCCTTTATGTTTAAGTTGATAGGTAGCAAACCAGGGGTGAGTTTCCTTACTCAGTCTATTTTAATATTTACTCCTCTTTTCTTCTATTTAGTAAGAAAATCTGAAACTCATCATATCTCACTGAGAGTAAGCAAGAGTTAGGGGCTGTCAACCCCTAACCAGTGTCTCATTTTATGGTCTCTTGATATTTTAGTCATTAGAAAATTCTGGTATTTTTAATCAAATATGAGTGATACATTAAAGATTTTTATTTTCCCTGAAGACTGAGTTTCTCAAAAGCTGAAAGAGCCATAATAGAATCCCCAAGCTCTATTATATTCTCCTGAAGCATTTGGCTTCAGGAGAACGCACCCAGGAATAATGTAATCTGCTACTTTCTCAACAAAAACCATTAATTTTTGGGAACACTCAAATTCTTGTCAAACAGACTGTTGACAACACAGCTCATTCTTAAGATCTCATGATAATTTGTCCTCAACATTAAACAGTTTCTTCTCCATCTTCATTAATAAATGCAAGCTGTTCTATACTGATACTGATTTGCACTTAAAACACTGGATTAATTTTCCAGGGAAGCCATATATTAGGTTGTACAATAATACCTACAGTTTATTGAAATTTCATGAACTGTGTACTGAGGAAAGGTACAAATGGATAGTGAAGCCAATAAAATCTGATTTCAGATATTCATCATTACAGTTCCTATTCAAAATATTCGGTTACACATTCCTCATGGTTACATTTATATATCCAGTTGGTCCTAACAGCTGAAGTTCTATTTTTTTCTCTGAAGTTTAGTTCCCTGTTACCATCTAGGAGTTGATAAAATGAAATATCTTGTGCAGTTTTCATATGCATATGAGCAATCTTTGAGGATATAATTAAGAATGTGTTAGTTAAGAGATATTTATTAAAATTATAATTCTTTGAGGATATAATTAAGAATGTGTTGATTAAGAGATATTTATTAAAATTATAATTCTTTGAGGATATAATTAAGAATGTGTTGGTTAAGAGATATTTATTAAAATTATAATTAACCTTATGTGTCAAATTTGGGGGAAAATAATACACACATAAAATCTTTTACTCTGGAGGCTTGACTGTTATAGACCAACTAGATACACCAATCATTTGAGGACCTCACTTGAGAAATAACTGCTATTGGGATGGGGAGACATTGAAGAGTGGGGCCTCTCTGGTGGCCTAGGGGTTAAGTCTTATCACCATCACTACTACAGCCTGAGTTTGATCTCCTGCCAGGGAATTAAGCTACACATGGTACAGCAAACCTTTCCTGTCTTGCCCACTGCTCCCCTCAGCAGTGTATTTCAGTCAGTCTGCCTATTCTGCTCCCCACTCTGTCTCTGATGAATCCTCTCACCCCCTCACCCCCTGTACCACTAGCCTATACCGCAGTTCTTATATATAAAAAAAATAATAATAACTTAAAAAAACCCACAAACTGACAATGGCATGGCCAAGTTTTAACTTGACCTAAAGGTTAAAAAAACTTAAAAGAATTACAAGCCATTGCAAGAAATACTGCTGTGCAATCTCATACTCTTCACCTAGTTTCTCCCTGTATGATTGTAGTACAATGTCACAGTAAGGAAAATGACTTTGGTCTTAGCCTTCAGCTTTATTCATCAGTTTTACATGTGCTTAAAATTCTCTGCAGTTTTGTTCCCTGTGGACTCCTGTATTACACCACCACAGTTATGATACAGAACGTGGGTCCCTTCTTGGTAGTTCATTGTGAATAAAAGTGTTCAGTGTTTATGGATACTAATCATTGTCACTGTCTGTAGTCACCTCCCTCCTTGTATACCTCCCTAAGCTCTTGGCAGCCACTAATTGATTTTTTAGCTCTGTCATTATGTCCCTTCAAGAATGTTCTTTAAATGAAA